GACCTAAAACCATAAAAACCCTAGAAGAAAACCTAGGTAATACCATTCAGGACATAGGCATGGGCAAGGACTTCATGTCTAAAACACCAAAAGCAATGGCAACAAAAGCCAAAATTGACAAATGGGATCTAATTAAACTAAAGAGCTTCTGCACAGCAAAAGAAACTACCATCAGAATGAACAGGCAACCTACAGAATGGGAGAACATTTTTGCAATCTACTCATCTGACAAAGGGCTAATATCCAGAACCTACAAAGAACTCAAACAAATTTACAAGAAAAAAACAAACAACCCCATCAAAAAGTGGGCAAAAGATATGAACACACACTTCTCAAAAGAAGACATTCATACAGCCAACAGACACATAAAAAAATGCTCATCATCACTCACCATCAGAGAAATGCAAATCAAAACCACAATGAGATATCATTTCACACCAGTTAGAATGGCAATCATTAAAAAATCAGGAAATAACAGGTGCTGGAGAGGATGTGGAGAAATAGGAACACTTTTACACTGTTGGTGGGACTGTAAACTAGTTCAACCATTGTGGAAAACAGTGTGGCGATTCCTCAAGGATCTAGAACTAGAAATACCATTTGACCCAGCCATCCCATTACTGGGGATATACCCAGAGGATTATAAGTCATGCTGCTATAAAGACACATGCACATGTATGTTTATTGCAGCACTATTCACAGTAGCAAAGACTTGGAATCAACCCAAATGTCCATCAGTGACAGACTGGATTAAGAAAATGTGGCACATATACACCATGGACTACTATGCAGCCATAAAAAAAGGATGAGTTTGTGTCCTTTGTAGGGACACGGATGCAGCTGGAAACCATCATTCTCAGCAAACTATCGCAAGAACAGAAAACCAAATACCACATGTTCTCACTCATAGGTGGGAACTGAACAATGAGATCACTTGAACACAGGAAGGGGAACATCACACACCGGGTCCTACTGTGGGGAGGGGGGAGGGGGGAGGGATACCATTAGGAGATATACTTAATGTAAATGATGAGTTAATGGGTGCAGCACACCAACATGGTTTATGTATACATATGTAACAAACCTGCACGTTGTGCACATGTACCCTAGAACTTGAAGTATTAAAAAAAAAAAAAAAAAAAAAAAGGGTTGGGTGGGGGGATAATGATACTGCTATTCAGCTCTTGAAAAAGACAACAATAAAGGCACTAATATTTTTAGAAAACTTCAGAGGCATCTCATTGCTAGAATTATTTACAGGATATTCATGCTGCTGTTAAATAAGCAGAGCAGCTTTATCCGCTAAGAAAAAAGCAGCCCGTTGTCAGAGGACTATCTTAAGTCTTATAAAAAATAAAATACCAGCAGATAACAGGTATTGTGTTTTCTTCTGGCAAATATTAACACTTCACAGCTAGTATATCTTGCTTACTTAATTGGGCCTATAAAAACTCACCAGACTGTTTCACTTGCAGCCACTGAAATTTTTTCAGCTTGTTCTTCACAGCTTTTCAGAGTAAGATGGGAAAACAGTTACAAAACAGAGCAGTTGAAAAGATTTTAAGGTCTCAAGTTCATATTTACAAACCTTACAGTCTGTGTGTATTCATTTATTTTAAAACAAAGTGAATACATCAGGAGATCTTTTGGAAAAGGGGAAAAAAAAAAATCCAACAAATTTGAGAATAAAAGAAGAAAGTATGTCAGCTGAGACAATTCCCAAAATGTCCCTATAGTTTTCCCAGCACTCTGTCTCCAACTATGCACCTCCAACAGAATTAACTACTCTCTCTTAGTACATATAGAAGCTAATACTTCTCTATACTATAGCATTTATCACATAAATTATTGTTCTATTTTGCTTGGGCTTAGATCTATTCCTGGCTAGATCCAGAGTTTCTCCAAGGTAGAAGTAATGTCATATTCTTATTACCAGCACCTGGTCTACACTAAGATTTAGCAAATATTTGTTAAAATGTAATAGGAGTCAGGGGAGAGGAGAGACAGGAGGAGAGAGGGGAGAGGGGAGGGTAAAGGGGAGAGGGGAGGAGACAGGGGAGAGAGGAGGGGATAAGGGAGAAGGGAGAGGGGAGAGAAGACAGGTATGAAAGCAAGTGAGAACCCAAGGGAGGAGTAAGAGAAATCTTAGACTCCAGGCCACTGGGCAGGTGCAATACTGGTAGAGAACTACATACAATTTGGTCTGCGAAGATCTAGAAAGCCCAGGGCCAGCCAAAGAAAAAGTATTAGTCATATATATTTACATATATATTTTAAAATATTCATAGACCCTAATAAACTTTCAATGGATTATTCTCATTATTTTGGCCTTGAAGACTTTTGTGAGCATACTTTCATTCTTGCTGGCCTATTTTTAAATGAGTTTACAAGTAGTTGTTGGGTAACTTATCTTTGTAATTTCCTTCTCGATAGTTCAGAAGTTCCCCAGTACAGAATGACTCCAGAAAACACTCATCAGGCCTCTCAACCAGAGGCTCTGGACTTGGGGGAGTTCTAAGTTCATAACAATATTTCTGATGATGCTGGTCCACACAGTGGTTTTGTTAGAGAAGTTGGTCTGCTTTAGTGTTTCCTCAAGGGATTGAAGTCAATGTCCTATTTTTAGAATTGCGGATCAGAATCCTTGATGACAACCTGACGCATCCCTTGGGGGTCTCTCCTGGGCCCCATTCTTCCCCTTCGTGTGACTGTGGTCTGATTTTAGCAAGTGCCCTGGTGGTGATGCTGAAGACCTGCCTTTCTAGGAACCACAATCTCATAAAAGCTGCTTTGTTGGGTCTGGCCGCCTGACAGGAATGAAATGTTAACTTTCTAAACTTGCTTTCCTAGATCTCTCCAAAAGTGGCAAGACAACAGTATAATTTCTCAGGCCTACGCTGAACAAAAGACACTAGTGTTTTTCCTTGGCGTGGGGAGAGGAGAGGAAAGGATGCTGAGATTCTAATCCCTGGCTTGGAGTATCTCAGGCAGTAACAAAGAACACTCATCTTTTATGGCAGTGCATTTCCCAAGCATCCCTTTGGGAAGCCTCAGACCCCAATTGTCTGGGAAACATAAAATCAGTCACTTTTGGCAGAGCTCAACACACGGGAGCATGGGAAACACAAATTAAACTAGAGATACTTCTTTACTCACTAGATGGTCTGGTTACACGTTTACTTGGCGTAAAAATAGAATCATTAAAAAAGGGAGCACCCAAGGGTACAGTTATCTAGCTCAGGTTTGGTGAGGGTCAGAGGAAACTTCAAGTCTCATGAAAGTTAAGCACCTTCATCCTTTCAGCTTGATGTAAGGAAATCATATAAAATAAGGTCAAAACAACCAGGACTACTTTGTCTAAAATTATTTGTCTTATTTTGCTCATAGGAATTCACAGTGGTTTTGAGATAGAGCACTTTTCAATGCACTGGACATGGTGTTCTGTTTTGGGTACAGTGGAAATGACTTTCCTTTATTTTACTGCTTGTTTGGCTTATCGAGGGAGCTGAGCCTTACCTAACAAGTAGCTCACGTCCCTTGTCAGAGGCAGTAAATCGATCTTGATCAAGTTTGAAACTGAATTGTTATCTAATCTGTTATTCTGTGGAAATCTTTCTCTTCTGCTACAGAGAATCTAACAGACAAGTTTTCCCATCACTCTGGGTGTCACTCTGTTTCATCCTAACATCTGTAATACAACCAATAAATAGCTGTTTGTTCTGATCCATAGTCTCAGACTGCCTATCTCCCAAGAGGCTGAAGCCACTTGGCTTGAGATCGCCCATCTGCACTCTGCACTTCTGATTAGTGTTTTGAAACTCCATTATACACGTGCAATCTTCTGGGCTGAGGAGTTTCGGTTGCTCTGCCCAACAGTGGTGGATCCTGACACTGATTTTCACACCCTAGTGCAGAGATGCACGCATGACAGGCCCCCCACACAGATATAAGAACTAGAGGGAATCAGCTCAGTCATCAGTCTCTATTCTCCCCACCCTGACTTATGAGCATAAACATGAGTGTGAAACTCAGGAAAGGAAACCTGCCTTAATAGGTTTGCCTTTCCAAGGAGCCGGTGTCCTTCATGGGCACCAGGGATAACAGAGTCCCCTACCTGTTTCTCAGAGCAGCACTATGAGGTGTAGTACAAGGCAGAAATCATTAGAGGGTGAGTAAGAACTGAACACCAGCAAGGACACTGCTATTACCATGTTCAGCTCTGCTCTGATAATAATGCCAGTAACAAGAACTAACAATTACTGAGCACCAGCTCTATGTCAGGCACTGTTCTATGTATCTGACGAGCACATTTCATGCAATTCTAAGCACCCTCTTCCTGGGCATTTTTGTGGATGCTCAAGAGTTAAGTGCATTGTGCAGGCACAGACTTGCTTCTTAACAAGAGAGGGAATCGTGCCACCCTGAAAAAACCCAGTGAGTTTTTCTTCAATGGTCACTATATTCTTTTCTGTTCCCTGAATGTCAAAGGATTTAGCAAAAAGAATCCTCTAATACAAAAACTGCCCTTATTGCAAAACAAATCCATCCTAGCATGCCGGTAAGATCAGTAGAATGTGAAGTGCTCAGATCCAATAAACAAACAACTGACATGTCTGACAATAACCCTTTTGAAATTTACTTCTAATCACCATCTTCCAAAGGAGAGATGGCTTGTGTTGCAAGAATCAAAGCTCAGTAGATGGTGACCAAGATCCCTTGTCCTCTTTAAAGTAGTCAACTTATGCCTCCCCCAAATCAGTTGGCATATAACAGGAAGTTTGAGAGCAATCAGAATGAACTACTGCACATTCATGGGGTTTGATTTCCATAAACAGTTTCTGTGGGAGAATACGCCTGTGGTTTGGGTAATGTTCCTGTCTATGAAGCCCAAGAAACCTAAATATAATCTGATATGTACAGAACAGTCTTGACCGTGTTCTTCTGCTCTAAACATTCTTAGAAAAGATGAATTCAGTGTTTGAAATCATGCATGAGCTTACCCAGAGAAGGTCATACTCAGATGGCCTTGCTCTTCCTTCGCTGTCTTCATATAAAGGGAAACCTTCCCTCCGAGCCTGATAATACTCTTTCCGCAACTTCTGGATACGGTCAGTGCTTCCACCTGTGGGTCGGCCACTACAGGATACAGAGAAATAATCAGAGTCACACAGTGTACATCATCCTTGAAGTCACTTTTGGATCTTCTTGTTAAAGGAGTTGACATCCAAATTTGGAAGATTCAATAATGTAATTCAAATATGCCAGGAAAATGGTGAAATCAGTCATAAATGTGAACAAAAAGTGGTCTTTACTTGCCTATCTTTAGTTCCAAGGGTCAAATGTCTGACTTGGGATTAATAAATGCCTTTTGAATGAGAAGGCAAGATAGAGTCCTGACCTTTTAGAGCAATTAAAAGACTCACCGCTTTTTTCTTACAATCACACACAGAGTTTTGTCACATGTTAATGTGGATATCTCATTTTCTCAGTAAGTGTTGCTGATTTGGGATAAAGCTCCAGTTGTTTGACCTGAAGGCTGGATATGAGACAGGGTTGGCATATGCCAGCATTCATTTCCATGAGGCTCATGAATTGTGGGAGTGGGGGGTGGGGATGGGATACATGTCAATATCTGGGTACAGTTAGGGTATGTGTAAAAAAGGTAATAGTAAACAAACAAACGAAAAACAGTAAAAAAGTGTTTTTTAAAAAAAGGTGGTGGAAGTTGGTGTAGAGTAGAATGTGCTTATCCAAGGTTCTTCTCGCTGTACTTTAGCCAGTACTTCCTCTTAGGAATTATAGCTTTTCCAGTAACTCATCTGCCCAACCCCAAACTGCTCGGCTAGCAGTTCCCTTGGAGCTTAGATTAGGTTATTGTGGTTATTTTAGTGGAACCAATATCACATGATATTATATAGGGCTAGGGAGCAAAAGAATGACAGGCAGATCTGAACAGTCATTCTACTTATTTGGTTCATTTGAGGCATAACTGAGTGCCCCACTGCACCAGACCTCACATTAAAATCTGGGAACGGAAAAAGGAACACTTCACAGTCCTTACCTGCAAAAACAAATAGTCTGGGAGGCAGGGGACAGAGAGGGATACAGAAGACTATAGTCCATTAGGACTGGTGCTCCTACAGAGATTTGCACTGGGGTCATGGGAATGCAGAGTGCTTAAACTTTGACAAGGTGAGAGTGGGGCCATTAAAGAAAATCACAGAAGGCTCCATGGAGGAGGTGACACTTCAGCTGAGCCTTGAAGGACACAAAGGTGCTCAACAGCTAGACAAGTGAGATGAGGATACTCCAGGTAGAGGGGAGGCAGTGAGTGCAAAGTAAAGCGATGAGAAAGCATCTTGCTTTAGAGACATGCAAGTCGATCAGTTTGGATAAGCAGTGGTCCTCAACTTCTTTTGTCCTGCCTTACACACATACCAGGTGTATGGCGCATGTTCCCTTTCCACTCTCGTTTACAAAGCAAATTTGAATAAAAGTGAGTTCTGGTGACTTTGGTTTAACTTTTTCTTCTTTTTTTTTTAGTCAGAGTCTCACTCTGTCACCCAGGCTAGAGTGCAGTGGCTTGATCTCAGCTCACTGCAACCTCTGCCTCCTGGATTCAAGTGATTCTCCTGTCTCAGCATCCAAACTAGCTGGGATTACAGGCGCCTGCCACCACGCCCGGTAAACTCTTTGTATGTGTGTGTATGTGTATTTTTAGTAGAGATGAGGTTTCACCATGTTGGCCAGGCTAGTCTAGTACTCCTGACCTCAAGTGATCTGCTTGACTCGGCCTCCCAAAGTGCTAGGATTACAGGCATAAGCCATCACACCCGGCCATAGCTTAGGGGTATTTTGAATTTACTCTAATAATGACAGAAGCATATCACTTACAAATTTTGGTACTTTAACTCAATTGTAACATCATGACACGTTTCACGGGTATGTGAGAATAGCGACTGTAGCATTTAGGGAATAAATACAGAAAAAAATCCAGAAAGTCATGAACTAAGTGCAAAAACTGCTGTATCTTCTCCCTTGTGTCAATATTTTAAAGAAATATAGGAGGGTCAAGAAAAAGAGGGACACATGAGGCCTGGAAAGGTAGGTAGAGCCCCAGTGTGAAGAGCTTTGCATGTCAAAAAGATCCCTAAATATTACAGTTGGGTTCTAAGTTTAAATGAGATATCTGATAATATGAGGTATCTAAAAGCAACAGAAAGAGGTCATCTATTTTTAAAAAATATTTTAGAACTATGCTTGTAAATTATATGAATAAAAAGTGGTGAGTAAACACCTTTTGCAGGAAAAGCACTGTTCTCAAACTAGATGGTAAGTTAATTGCAAACTGGATGAGGTACTTCTGCCTTGTGGCTGCTCCCTGACAGTTTGCACAGGGTTCTGGGCTTCCTGGGTGCTCTACAGACACTCAGCAGCTGATGCCTTTCGTTCAAAACAGACAAACCCTTGGGAATCACGTACCTTTCTTTTTTTTCAATATGTATGTTAAAACTCTCATAATAGTTCTAATTCTCTTTCTTTACTATACTTAAAAATAGTTTTCTTTGAGCACTTGAAAAATATAGTAAGAACAAATTAAAAGTCTTGATAAGTTTTTCTGAACCATGGGCAGGCAGGAAAAGCAGCACAGTCTATTTTGAACAGCTTCCCTAGCTCTTGAGTAATACGAGATGACCATGGTGTCTGTATCCAATGCACAGGCTTCTGTCGATTACGGAAATTCATGAGCTGCGTTCAAACTCACCAGATGAGTTCAATCAACGTGGTGCAAACATCGCATACATAATCTATTAGTTTACCCCAAAGAAACTGAAGCCTTGAATTCAAGTAGAATGAAGTCATCAGTAATAAAGAAAAAAAAAATAAACTGATAAAGCACTGTTTTTTAAAAACACACTTTTCTTCCATTTGTGGTGGAAAAAAATTTTACTGAAACTGTAAACTGTTCTTCCATATGCCTATAAATACATAAATTTAAAAATATGGGTTTGATCAGATTGCTGTTCTCAAATAAGGGAATGGGGCAAGAATACAAAATCAGTTGTTCAGGATTCAGAAAGTCCCCTGTGGCTGACAGGAACACGACTATTTACCTAGAAAAGAAATCTGGCCCAAGAGAAAAAACAGGAAAACAGCGCAGAAAATCATGGACCATCTAAGTGCAAAATATGCTGTATCTTCTCCCTTGTGTGAATATTTTTTAAAAATATGGAACACTGTGCAAACCTTTAGTGATAACCTGGGACTACGTCTCAATATCATCTCTGCTTTTTTCCTCTCAACCCTCATTCTACTTTTAGAAATGGTATCAGACTTTTCCCAAAGACATATTTCAGGTGGTAAGATTAGGGATAGCAAATGCCAATTTCTGATTTGTAGCTCTTCTCAGCAGATAGTACACATACACTTACCACCAAATTAATAAAAATAATATATACCACTATTATAACCAAAGCAATTAATTGACTCTATGTTGCACTGAAGATGTAGAAACTTAGCAATTTTTAGAGGGACATACAAACACCTTTGTGAAAGTGGCAATCATCATAATAGTTATAATTTATAGAACACTTATATAGCAAATATATCTATATATACTTTTACTTACTCCACTCACCATCCACAGCAGACATCACGAATCAATTACAGCATTCTTTCCCAATGCTGTAATTGGGAAAGAATTCTCAGAATTCTTTTAGCCTAGAACTTCAGAAAGCCACTACTAATCTATAGGAATTGGTACATGAGTTTATTTACAATTCCTGTGTAACAGGTGCTGTCAATATCTCAAGACCTCAAAAAATATTGATGGATTTATTATTCTGCTCAATAAAGATGAAGAATATGAAGCTCCTAGCAAATAGACGATTAACAAGTGTTGTCTCACTTCAAAGACTGCTCTTCCACTATGGCTTACTGTCTTCCAACCTACTTCCCTTCCTTCATCTATGTTTTAAAGACTGGGTCCTCTAGCAAGATACTGAACAAGAATGGAAGTGAAGGCTAGCCTACAGGATTTACTTTCTGAGGATTCCCATTTTCCTTCCCTCTTTACATGTCGTTTGTTCTATATTCCTTGTTTATGGAATTTAGCAGTACAGATTCTAGAAATAGCTTCAGAAGTGACATCAGATCATGATGTAACTCAAATACTACTGAAACCATGTAAACCTAGTAAAAGTGTCAATAACCTCATCTCCACATTGTTAGTTTAACAATTAGGCTTTCCGTATTATTTATTCACTAAATGAAGTAAAGCCCTGGCCATCCTTACAAAAAGTTTCTATTACAGCTGTATCCCTATATAGGTGATCAATGACAGTCTTACACTTTTGATGTGCTGAAATTTTATGTTAAATTAATTCAAGCAGTATAACAACACGATGTATATTGTAATGATTTTAAACATAAATTATATTGCTTATGCCTTTAAAGGCAGATATATCATTAAACAGGCCATTCTTATAACACTTTAGAGCTGGACAGAACTTAAAGTTGTAATGGATTTCAGAAACCATGTCATTTTCTTCATAGCCACCTACAGCAACAAATTCCCATATGTCATAAACATCACACTAAGGCATTTGGAATCTAGCCTTATTCTTCCCAGTTTAAAATGACCTCAACTGTAGTACTTTTTAAAATGAGTGTTTATCTGTGCATGCCTTCATCTCCTCCCATGACTGCTGCAGGCCAAAAAAAATTAACATTTATTGAGCTCCTGTGATGTCCTAAAGACAATATTTGTGCTTTATATACCTCATCTCATTTAAGCCTCAGTCAAATCTGTGAAGATGACATTGTTGTTGACATTTTACACACGAGCACACTGAGGCTCAGAGACATTAAGTAACACAACTGGTGAATGGTGGGCCAGGAGATTTGTGTGACTCCCAACCAGCGCTATTTCTACTATATCACGTTGCCTCGCAAGAAAGGCATTAAAATGCAGCAGGCATTTTGTGGCTGCAGTTCACAGGCATTTCAAGGCAGAGGGAATTTAGCAGAGCACATTTATAGCTGTACCTTTTGATATTCTTTTATTTGCACAGCTCTTTGCAATAAAAATAGAAATAGAAGTAACCAAAGTAATAGAAATACATGCAATGAAGTCC